CCATGAGAGATAAGTATTTTCATTGTATTTTGATTTGAATTTAGTACTTTGTTTGTATGGTTTCAAAGTCTTGTTCAATGAAAAGTTCTTGTTGTCTCTCCATGTGTAGTGAGTAGTTTTCCTTACTCTTCCCTCTTGTAATGAATTAGTATGCATGTGTAGGATATAGAATTGAGTAGTGTGAGAATATATTGTGATGATTTTACTTTGTTCTTCATTTACATGTAAACTTGATCAACTTGCATGTTAAAATCTATTGTGAGAATATGTAAGATTTGTGATGGTGATGTCTCAATCAACTGTGGTAGAATCACATGAGATTATATGGATGAGAATGTAGTTCATATTGTTGATTGCAAATAAATAGGGAAATAATATTTCATGGGTGTAGAATTAGAGGACTTTAGAGTGACAAGCTAAAGCCCCCTAATTTGGTCTATTGTTTTAGATTTTGATGCGAGATGTTAGCATCTAGGTGGAGGGATAAGAGGGAACTCTTGAGTGAGAGCTAGTATCTTCCATGCCTAGCCCGTTTTCAGAACTATTCAAACTTTAGATTAACCAATATTCTTTATAATATCTCTAGTAAGGGTAAAGAATATAATTGCTCATATTTGTCACAATCTCTCTCACTACTTGTTTTACTTTTACACATGTCACTAATTTCATTGCACGAGGAATAGTACTTTTAATATATTAAACCCCACTTTCTGATTTTCACTAAGTATTTTAGTTTAGAAGTAGAGGTAGTATAGTAGTGATAATTATTGGATATAATCAAAACCAAAACCTTATCAACCTTCCAAGCTAGAGCGTGTTATTATAGACTAGAACTTCTCTTGAAAGTTGTCGTGATTAACCTCGACCTCCGTGGGATCGATATTCGGAGCTTAATCAGAAAGCTCTATATTAATTGATAACGATACGTATACTTGCATAGAATCCCTACAAATATATTGAAATCTTACTTAGAGTTCCTGAACACTCCACCAAAACCAGCACCACCATTGGAAAAACTGTCATTAGTGTTCAATAGCAGAAGGAGAAGGATGAGCCCAATAAATTTGGGAGGGAGGGTTTATCTGTTTATCTTCAAAAGTGGGTACCCAATTCAAGCAAATATTGGAGAACTAATAGTGCTGAATTAGTTTGTGAATGTAAGAGATGCACTTTGTGACCACATGATTTACCAATGGCTTCTTATCTTCATATTTGGTTTGATTCCTGAACATCCATATGAACTAGGCCACAAATATAGGAATTACAAATAAATCTGCATTATTCCAATCAGGACAGCAAAGAGAGAATTTAGACCAGCTCAGTTTGAATCTATCCACCTTCAAATTATCAAGGAGACAGGACCAAAGCCTTTGAGAGAAGGTACATGTGAAAAACATGTGATCCAAGGACTCCTCATAAGCATTGAAAAGACAGCAGCAAGAAGGTCCGCTCAGCCCTTTAAGTTTTAGAATGTCATCTGTAGGTATCAGCAGTAGCCAAAATCTCCAACAGAAAGAATCACATAGATGGAGTTAACAATTTTCCCAAATTAGTTTTACCCCAAATTATAGGATCCTACCGAAAGAATTTATGGTATATGAATGAAGAGAGCTTCTATGAGTGTGTGTGTATGTACATATATATATACTTTTATATATATATATTGTGTATGTATGCGCGCGCGCCGCCATGACCTATTGGTAGATCAGCCACGTTGAAGGTCGCAAGTCCCTTCAGGTCACGGGTTCGAATTCCCTTCTGGCTAGTTTGCCGGTAGTGATGATAGTCATCGAATATTTAGGCACATGAGAGTGGTTGGGGGCGCGTATAATAGCTTCCGACCATTCTGGCTAGTAATATATAT